GTACTTATTTTTTTATCAATACAAATTTATTTATCTGATAAAAAAATGTTCAAATAAAGTAGAATTGAGCTTTAGAATAAAAGGGAGAAGTTGGGGTTTAGAGTTCAGTTCTTTCCCAAGATGGATAATGAAAGAGCATCGGCCTTGCCTCCTCATGTACTCATATTCCCCTTACCAATTCAAGGGCCAGTCAAGTGTATGCTCAAACTTGCCGAGCTCTTCTGTATTAATGGCCTAAAAGTAACTTTCCTAAACTCGCAACACATCCAACGTTGTTTATCAAGCTGCACAAATATTGAATCATATTTTCAACGCTATCCCAATTTTCGCTTTGAAACAGTGCCCGATGGCCTTCCCGAAGACAATCCTCGCACAGCCAGTGAATTTTTCGAGATGTTGGATTCTATGAAAGCTGTGAGTGTGCCCCTAATTCATGAAATGGTAACTTCTGGTCCCAACTCTGAGAACCCGATAACTTGCATAGTGGCCGATGGAGTATTCTGTTTTGCAGTTGATATTGCTAAACAGATTGGGGTTCCACTCCTTTATTTTGATACTATTAGCCCTTGTGGTCTATGGACTTATCTCTGCCTTCCGAAACTCATTGAAGCTGCGGAGTTTCCTTTCAAAGGTGAGTTGTGCCTACTCTTTCAAGGGAAGTCAAAACCAAAATTAACTTCTTTCTATACCAAGTTGGATAACTATGTTTATGATGGTTTGGCACAGGGGATAACTTGGACGAGATTGTTGTTAATGCACCAGGAAAGGAAGGTTTTCTAAGGCGCCGGGATCTTCCTGGCTTTTATCGCACCAAGGACCTTAATGATCCCTTTATCAAATCAGTTCTGAAGGAGAACATGAACCTTTCCTTGGCCCAAGGGCTGATTTTGAATACATTTGAGGAACTTGATGCATCCATATTATCAGAGATGTCCACAGTCTGTCCAAAAATCTATGCCGTCGGGCCGCTCCACACTCACGTGAAAACTAGACTCGGGACGGGAACCACATCAAATAGTA